TTATAAAAATTCTAAGGTGGGGGGGGGACGGTGCCAGCATTGTAGCACAGTAGGTAAAGCTGTTGCCAGATACCAGCATCCTACGTGGACACTGGTTTGTGTCCCAGCTGCTTCACTTTCTATCCAGCTCCCTGCTAATGTGCCTGGGAAAGCAGCAGAGGATGGCTAGGTCCTTGGACCCCTTGTGCCAACGTGTGAGACCCAGGTGAATCTCCTGATTCCTGGCTTTGGTCTGGCCTGGTCCTAGCCATTGCAGCCATTTGGGGAATGATCTGGTGGATGGAAGATTTGTATTTCTCTCTGTCTTCTCCCTCTCTCTGTAGTTCTGCCTTTCAAATAAATAGATCTTTTTATATATGCTTTTTTAGATCCTGAGATTATATCAATAAATAATCAAATACAAGAATCTATCAAGTTTGCTGACAGCAAATATAACTTTTAAAAGTAAGGTGGTTTCTGTTTCTGCATGTAATAAAACTGGACATTGTCAGTCCATCCTACAAATCTGCAAAACACTGACAAACTGAAAAACCAAGGAATCATCGTAAATTCTGCTTCCCACAAAATTGGAGAGACAGATAGGCAGATATAGAGAATCATGATTCTGTAGTGGAAACTTCCTTTGAATAAAGGCTTAAGTGGCAAGTATTAAATGGTAGTTGATGAATCACTGGGGGCTAGGGATGGCGAAATCTAAGAGATAAAATCTCCAGGGTAACCTATTATTACCATTATTTGGTTTTTGTTTGTTTTTTCATTTGAAAGAGGGAGAGTGAGGGTAGTAGAGAGGGAGAGAGACACAGAGAGAGAGATTTTATATCTCCTGGTTTAGCATCCAAATGCTTATCATGCCTGGGGATGAATGAGGCTGAGGCCAGTAGCTAGGAGCTCCCATGTGGAAGCCACGACCACCTGGGCAATCATTGCTGCCTCCCAGGGCCACGCAGCAGCAGAAAGCTAGAGTGGGTGTGGAGCATGCACTCAACTCAGGCGCTCTGATCTGGGCTTCAGTAAACCCAAGCACAACTTGATCACGACACCAAATGCCTGTCCCCACTCATTCATGTGGCTAGAACCTACATTTTTTTTTTTTTAAAGATTTATTTTTATTATTTTTTCATTGGAAAGGCGGATATACAGAGAGGAGAGACAGAGAGGAAGATCTTCCATCCGATGATTCACTCCCCAAGTGAGCGCAACGGGCCGATACTATGCCGATCCGAAGCCAGGAGCCTCTTCCGGGTCTCCCACGTGGGTGCAGGGTCCCAAAGCTTTGGGCTGTCCTCGACTGCTTTCCCAGGCCACAGGCAGGGAGCTGGAAGGGAAGCAGGGCTGCCGGGATTAGAACCGCCGCCCATATGGGATCCCGGGCGTGCAAGGCGAGGACTCAACCACTTGCGCCACCGCGCCGGGCCCGAACCTACATTTTTGTAGGCTTTACTTGTAGGGCCTCAACCGGGTTCTCAGAGTGAATGTCAAACAGTCCCTTCATGCTTCTTGCAGGAGGAAGAAAAAAGATATCATTCTAAAACATCCCCTGATAATTATTTAAAAAACAAACAAACAAACAAACAAATTTTGCATTAGGAGGAAACTAGTTCTAGAGTTTACATGACCTGGCACCAAAGAAATAGAAACCCAATTCTAGTCTATGCAAGTCACCCTGTCATATCCAAGGAGGAAAGAAGTAGTTGAAAAGCATAGATGAAGTTCACAGCCCAGAGTCACAGGCTCACTATACTAAGACTTAATTGTTGAACAATAAAATGTTTCCCCTCTTGACATACCTTACCACTATTTTATTTCTTTTTAAAAAAAGATTTTTTTTTTTTTCGGTTGCAAAGTCAGATATATAGAGAGAGGAGGAGAGACAAAGATCTTCTGTCTGATGATTAACTTCCCAAGTAGCCACAACGGTCGGAGCTGAGCTGATCCGAATCCAGGAGCCAGGAACTCTCCCGGGTCTCCCATGCAGGTACAGGATCCCAAGGCTTTGGACCTTTCCCAGGCCACAAGCAGGCAGCTGGAAGGGAAGTGGGGGCGCTGGGATTGGAACCGGTGCCCATAGAGGATACTGGTGCAATCAAGGCAAGGACTTTAGCTTCTAGGCCACCACGCCAGGCCCTATTTTATTTCTTTTTAAAAAACTTATTTATTTTTACAGAGAGACATCAAGAGACAGAAGCAGTGAGAGATATAGAGAGATCTTCCATTTGTTTACTCCCCAAATGCTGCAACTGCCACAGCTGGGATGGTCTGAAGCTGGGGGCCAGGAGCTTCTTCCAGATCTCCCACACGGGCGCAGGGGCCCAACAGCTTGCACCATCCTCCACTGCATTTCCAGGCCACAAGCAGGGAGCTGGATCAGGAAGTGGAGCAGTTAGGACACAAACTGCTGCCCATATGGTATGCCATTGCTGGCAGCTACAGAATTAGCCTGTTAGGCCACCAGGCCACCCCCACCTTACCACAAAAGGTCTACTAACAGCAGTTCCTCTTCTCTTTTCTTTTCTTTTCTTTTCTTTTCTCTTCTCTTCTCTTCTCTTTTCTTTTCTTCTCCTCTCTTCTCTTCCCTTTCCTTCTTTTCCCTTTCCTTCCTTCCTTCCTTCCTCCCTCCCTCCCTCTTTCCCTCCCTCCCTCCCTCCCTCCCTCCCTCCCTCCCTCTCTCTCTCTCTCTTTCTTTCTTTCTTTCTTTCTTTCTTTCTTTCTTATCAGGAAAAAATTACAAGGCACACTAAAAGGCAAGAACAAAAAAATCCCTGCAGTTTGAAGGGACATATCAAACATCAGAAGAAGACACAGCAAGGATGTTGAGACTATCAGGTAGGGAATTCAAAATAATTATGGGGGCCCGGAGCAGTGGCCTGGTGGCCAAAGTTTTCACCTTGCATGTGCAGGGATTCCATATGGGTGCTGGTTTGTGCTCTGGCTGTCCCACTTCCCATCCAGTTCCCTGCTTATGGCCTGGGAAGGCAGTAAAGGATGGCTCCAAAGCCTTTTGCTCCCTAAACCCACAGGAACCTCCTGGCTGGTGATTTCAGATCAGCTCAGCTCTGGTCATTGCAGCCATTTAGGGAGTGAATCAGCAGATAGAAGATATTTCTCTTTGTCTCTCCTCTCTGTAAATCTCACTTCGCAATAAAAGTAAATAAATCTTAAAAAGTCAAAATAGGGCCCGGCGTGGTGGCGCAAGTGGTTAAGGTCCTCGCCTTGCACGCCCGGGATCCCATATGGGCGCCGGTTCTAATCCTGGCAGCCCTGCTTCCCATCCAGCTCCCTGCCTGTGGCCTGGGAAAGCAGTCAAGGACGGCCCAAAGCTTTGGGACCCTGCACCCACGTGGGAGACCCGGAAAAGGCTCCTGGCTTCAGATCGGCATAACATCGGCCGTTGTGCTCACTTGGGGAGTGAATCATCGGATGGAAGATCTTCCTCTCTGTCTCTCCTCTCTGTATATCTGCCTTTCCAATACAAAAAAAAATAATAAAAATAAATCTTTAAAAAAAAAGGCAAAATAAAAATGAAGAAGGTCTTTGATGAGATTACCAAATACAAGAGAATGGTTGAGGAAGGAAGATGTTACCTTGAGGATATATTAAAAACAAAAACATACAAAACTGAAACACAAAGAGAACAAAAACAGCAAAAAATCCATAGTGCCTGAGTGCTGTAGTTCGGCTGTAAATATTATAAAATAAGCTAAGTGAACAGTGAGAAAGGAACAGAAAAAATCTGAAACAATAGCTGAGAATTTCCTCCAAGTTACTACAAGATAACACACCACAAATCCGGAAAGTTCAGAGAATTTCATGCAGCATTAATGCTAACCAAAAGTATATGCAGATTATCATTTTCAAATTGTGAAAGTTGATGCCAGTACTGTGGTTCAATGGGCTAATCCTACACTTACAAGGGTTGGAATCCCAACTCACATCTCAACTGCTCCACTTCCCACCCAGTTCCCTGACTGTGGCCTGGGAAGGCAGTGTAGGATGACCCAAGGGCTTGGAACCCTGCACTCATATGAGAGACTGTAAAGGGACTCCTGGCTCCTGGCTTTGGATCAGCGCAGGAAAAGCCATTTTGGCCACTTAGGTAGTGAACCAGCAAATGGAAGATCTTTCTGTCTTTTTTCTCTCCATAAATACGATCTGTCTTCCAATAAAAAGAAATAAATCTTTTCGGGCCCGGCGGCGTGGCCTAGCAGCTAAAGTCCTGGCCTTGCACGCGCCAGGATCCCATATGGGCACTGGTTCTAACCTGCAGCTCCACTTCCCATCCAGCTCCCTGCTTGTGGCCCGGGAAAGCAGTTGAGGACGGCCCAAAGCTTTGGGACCCTGCACCCGCGTGGGAGACCCGGAAGAGGCTCCTGGCTCCTGGCTTTGGATCGGCGCAGCACCGGCTGTTGCAGTCACTTGGGGAGTGAATTACCAAACAGAAGATCTTGCTCTCTCTGTCTCTACTCCTCTCTGTACATCTGCCTTTCCAATAAAAATAAATAAATCTTTAAAACAAATAAAAAATAAATCTTTACAAAAAATTATGTGTTCTTATATCAGTTTTCCCTTCTTAGTTATACTCACTTATTCTCAAGTTAAAGCAGGTTTAGAAAGAGATATTTGGAAATGCAAAAAATAAAAACAGAAGAATCTGTGGTAAATTGGAAAATTATCTTAGAGTAGCTTCATATTTTTATCTAAATAATTTAACCCACTTAAGTTTACATTTCTTTATAAAGATAATATTACACTTTATGGAAATTATGAAATTAATAAAGACAATGTACATATAGTATGAACATGCAAACCAAAAATGTGTCAGTGCTACTATTATTTTAATTGTTGTTCTGCATTACTTTGGTAGTATAATTGAGATTCTCTTGGTAGGGGAATAAAGATTTGTGTGGAAACTTCCATGCAGACAATCTATTTGGATCAAGAAAGAGGTGATGCCAAACACTCTTCAAAAGCATTAATTTTGTATTCAATCCTGCATTACTTACTTAATCGTGAAATACCAAAAAAAACAGATGTGAGACTCAGTCACAAACAAATTGCGTTCTTCTTCTTCTTCCTAAAAGAAAATTCAAAAGAAACAATGATAAATCAAGCTAACTTTAGGATTAACACAAGTATAGGCATTCAAGTTGCACAGAAAATAAGTAACTTATCTAAAATTACAGACACAAGAATGAATACATTTCAGAATAGAAAGTACATCTAATACTAGTTCAACTTCTTATTTACTAAGAATGCACTCATGTGTGTGATAAACTTGGAAGATATTTGATGGTTTGCTATTCTTACTGATTCTATTACAGTTTATCAAATGTTTGTGCATTGGGGTGATTCTGCTTCCCAGGGATCATTAAGCAATGCTTGGAAATTCTTTCATTGTGTGACAGGTGGTTTTGATTATATTTCTTATTTTTAAAATTAAAAATTTTTTTTTTTAAATTTTACTTATTTTTATTGGAAAGGCAGATGTACAGAGAGGAGTAGAGACAGAGAGAGCAAGATCTTTCGTTCGGTAATTCATTCCCCAAGCGGCCGCAATGGCTGGTGCTGAGCCAATCCGAAGCCAGGAGCCAGGAGTTTCTTCTAGGTCTCCCACGTGAGTTCAGGGTCCCAAAGCTTTGGGCTGTACTCCACTGCTTTCCCAGGCCACAAGCAGAGAGCTGGATGGGAAATGGGTCTGCCAGGATTAGAACTGGTGCCCATATGGTATCCTGGCGCGTGCAAGGCCAGGACTTTAATCACCGCACTATCGCGCCAGGCCTGGTTTTGATTATATTTCAAAAGTTGTAGATACTACATCAGCTTGCTGTTGGATCTGATGATACTGTACTCTAAGATATTGCTAATATGAAAATATGTGCATCCACTTTTTTGTATGTGTGCATATTTTTATATGAGTATAGACTTAGAACATAAACAAAAATAAGTTCTTCACTTCTTCATGACTGTGTTCTTGAAACTGGTAAGTACTCACGGACTCAAAAAGACAAATACAAATATTTTTCACTGCATAGGTATTGAAAAATGAATTAATATTCAACTGTCCCCACCCATATCACACCAACTACTTGTCCCCTGAAAACGAATTTTGCATGTTGTTCCAAGTTCAGTAGATGTGCTGCTGAAGCAAGTACAACAATTTTTATTACTTAAGAGAAGGCATAAGTCTCAAAGGAAAAGCTGCATTCCTTGTGTGGAATCTCTACAGCAGGAGCTGTGGAGCACGCAGCCAGTACTTGGGACCCTGTACCAGCTACAAAAGGATCAATAACCTAAAAATGCTGTACTTCGCTTTTCCATTTCTGGTAAACTAGAGAAGAGTCAATATCATACATGTTACATTGATATTATTAAAAAGATTTTCTTGAATGACATTCAGGGAAGGAAAGCAATTTTGCTAGACATTGCTTTGAATCCCAAGTATTGCCATAGGTGCGTGATGTGAGGCCACCCACCTGGCAGTGTGATCCTTAAAGCGGTGGCTATGGATTTTCACATCCTTATTAATAAAAACACTAACGTAAAATAATCATAACTTACATGTTTTAAAGACTTTTTTTAAGACTTATTTATTTTTATTACAAAGTCAGATATATAGAGAGGAGGAGAGACAGAGCAAGATCTTCTGTCCAATGAGTCACTCCCCAAGTGACCATAATGGCCAGTGTTGCACCGATCCAAAGCCAGGAACCAGGAACCTCTTCTGGGTCTCCCACACGGGCGCAGGGTCCCAAGGCTTTGGGACATTCTTGAGTGCTTTCCCAGGCCACAAGCAGGGAGCTGGATGGGAAGTGGAGCTGCCGGGATTAGAACCGGCGACCATACAGGATCCTATCGCATTCAAGGCGAGGACTTTAGCCACTAGGCTATGGTGCTGGGCCAAAAGATTTTGTTTTTATCTGAAAGACAGTTACAAAGAGAGGAAGAAGAGTTGGGGGGGCAGTGGGTGGCAAGAGAAGGAGAGAAACAAATCTTTCATTCACTGGTTCAATCCCCAAATGGCTGTAAAGGCCAGGGTAGGGCCAGCCCAAAGCCAGCAGCCTAAAGTTTCTTCTGGGTCTGTAATGTGGATACAAGGTTAAAGAATTTGGGCCATCTTCCACTTTCCAGGCACATTTGTATGATTAGATTAGAAGTGGAGCAGTGGGGGCTCAAACTAGTGTCCATATGGGATGCTGGAGTCACAGGTAGAGGCTTAAGCAGATATGCCACAACACAGGCCCCCATGATTTGTAATTTAATATGAGATTATATCTACTGGGGTTTTTAAATCTTTACTTATTTATCTGAAAGGCAGAGTTACACAGAGAGAGAGAGATAAAGAGATCTTCAATCCACTGGTTCACTTCCCAGATGGCTGCAATAGCTACAGCTGGGGCATTCTGAAACCAGATACCTGGAACTCCACTGGGTGGCAGGGGTCCAAGAGACTGCTTTCCCAGGCTTGTTAACAAGGAGCTGGATTACAAGTAGAGCAGCCACGACTCACACCTGTGTTCGTGTGGAATGCTGGTGTCACAAGTAGTAGGTTACCTTGCTGTACCACAAACACTAGTCCTGGAAAGAGCGACATCTTAAAATAAACAATCTGTTGATACTGACTTTATAAAATAGCTCTTTTAATGGGGGTTTAGCACAGTGTTTAAGACATGCCTTGGGACACTTGCATCCCACATCAGAGTTTCTGTGCTCAAGTCCAGGTGTTAGAGGATGATGAGGATGATTTCAGTTCTGGTTTCATATCAAGCAATTGCTAGATGGAAAGTCAAAATGTGCCAAGTAGTTTACTGAAAGAAATCCCTTGTTGCAGCAGCCAGGAGTTTCCAAGAGTGGAGTTGGCAGGGGAGCTTGCAAGTGTTGGCTCTTTTAGATTTATTTATTTTTATTGGAAAAGCAGATCAGATCTATGGAGAGAAAGATCTTCCATTGGCTGTTCCATTTCCAAAGTGGACACAATGACCAGAACTGAGACTCTCCTGGGTCTCCCACGTGGGTGCAGGGTCTCAAGGCTTTGAGCCATCCACTACTGTTTTCCTAGATCACAAGCTGGATGGAAAGTGGAGCAGTGGAGACAAGAAGTGGCACCCATATGGGATCCCAGCACTTACACGGTGAGAATTGAGCCATTGATCCATTGTGCCAAGTCCAAAGCTTGCTCTTTGATGCATAAAGTAGGCCTCTCTGATTTGCCTCATTCTGAGCAATGAGTACAAGCCTAAGGAATCAGGAGGCCAGGAAAAACAACCAATCAGAAGGCAGAGATTACTACGTACAGCCTTCTTTCATAATAAAACTAAGTATTACACAGGCAGCCTCAGCCAAGAAGCAAGCATTTTTCCGCTCTGTCCCTTTCTCATTCTAACCTGACTATTAATCTAACTTCTCACAGTGGCTCTGCTTTTGATCCAGCCTGCTGCTGATAACCCTGGGAGGCAGTGGTGCTGGTTTAAGTATTTGGGTCTTTGCCACCTGTTTGGATGACTCACATCTATTTCCAGGTTCCTAGTTCTGGTCTGTCTCCACCCCAACTGTGGTGGGCACCTGGCAAGTGAACCAGCGAGCAGAAAATCTTTGTCTCTGCCTTGCAGCTGAAAATAAGTAAACAATAGACAAATCCAATAGCTCTTATTCATACGTATAATAAATACTACCCACAGCAGCTTAAATTTGGCTGAAAAGTTAAAAAAAAAAGTCAAAGTAACAGAAAAAATTATTTGAGATGCAATAATTATCACTAAAGTTAACTTACTGGGCCTGTAACAACTGGTCTTATAGCTTGAAAACCAGGAGAAGAACAACGCAATTCTGTCCTGGGTGATCTAGTACACAAAGAATAGTAAAGAAGAAATAATAAAAGATGCATACAAGATTAGTTCCCTCCCCACCGCCCCACACACAATATTCTTAAGCCTAAAATCTTCAACCATATACTGGTTACAGAAACTTAAAAATTTAGCAACATCACACTGATATACTGTTTCAGAGTAACTTTTTTTCTTGTAGTTTGTCTGTTTAATAGAAGGAAATGTACATTAAATAATAACCTTGAATCTGACTGTCCATACTACACAAAAGCATTTTCATGTATAAATGATCATATTGAGTATTATTTCACCTTTTATCTTGGATAGAGCAAGTTTCTGGCACAATCCACTCAGAAAAATCGGTTCCTTCATATTCTAACTTAATCTAAAAGATAAAATAAATTATTTCAAACAAACAAAAATGCTTCAATATTTTCACTTGAGTATTCAGTTGTACTGTTAAATTTTCTACGTCATTATTTAACAAAGAGTGACAGTTCCTTTGAAATTACATAAGATAATGTGATAAAGAAAAGCAGATGGTCCATATTAGAAACTTAATAACCTTTCCAAAACACTGAAGTTTTTCGTTTATTTCAAATATAATCTATAAACATCTGGAAGAAGGTTCGTACTCTGATAGTTCTGAGTATAAACAAAAATTAATGAAACAATATCAGCATAAGGAGCAAAAGAAAGCAAATGTGTCTAACCTCAGAGGAGGATAATCTAAGTTAGTGACAGGTATTCACAAAAACTATGGCAGGCCACTAGAAGGACACCTGCCCTAACTTCAGGGGCCTGTGCATTTCCCAACTTCTAGGTGGGTCTGCAAGAAGGACCTGAAGCTAGGACCTCTGAATTCAGCCAGGGGAAGGAGTTAGGCACAGCAGCTAAGAAACCATGTCCCTTACTCAGAATGTCTGGGTTCAAGGCCTGACTTCATTTCTGAGTCCAACTTGCTGGGAGGCAGCAGATTCAAGCATCTGGATCCCTGCCACGTACCTGCAAGATCTGGATGGAGCTGTGTACCCTTGGGCTAAGCCTGGCCTATTTATTTTTTGCAGGTGTTTGATCAGATGGCAGAGCTATACTTTCACTACCTTTCAAATAAAGTAGCTGCTACTAATGAGTAATGAAATTTATGAGAGAAATATTTGCAAGTAAGGGTAAGCAAAGATTTTTCTTTCTTTCTTATTTTTTAAAAAGACTTATTTTTATTTATTGGAAAGTCAGATATACAGAGAGGAAGATCTTCCTTCCGATGATTTACTCCCCAAGTGACTGCAACGGCTGTTGCTGTGCCGATCTGAACCCAGGAGCCAGGAACCTCTTCCAGGCCTCCCATGCGGGTGCAGGGTCCCAAGGCTTTGGGGTGTCCTTGGCTGCTTTTCCAGACCACAAGCAGGGATCTGAATAGGAAGCAGGGCTTCAGGATTAGAACTGGTGCTCATATGGGATCCTGGCACAGTCAAGGCAAGGACCTTAGCTGCTAGGCCACAGTGCCGCCGGGACCAAGATTGATTGATTGATTGATTTATCTTAAATAAGATCCACCAAAAGTGGAGACAAATTAGGGAGGGGACTGGCTCATTAAAACTCAGACCCTCCCCCTAAGTTAAGTACTCACAGACTAAATTAACAGTTAAACGAGAGACTAAGAAGTGATGAGTGCTGCAGTGCTTGAAATTCATATTTGGTTACCAGTAAAATACAGAGAGGTAGCTCTCTCTAAAGCAGGAAAACGAGAAACAGAAAATGTGCAAAGGCTACAAACAGGGAATTCAGGAAAGAAACCTGTATAAAAATGTGAGGGGTGCTCAAAATTGCTAGTCATTAGATAACTGAAAATAACAATAACCATAAACTATTACTGTGTAGCAATGAGACAGGTGTAAAGACTAAGGGGCAGGAGTTCAGCAGGGCATTCAAAGCTCTACTTGAAACACCTGCATGCCATGTTCCTGTGTTGACAGGCCTGGGATTATACCCCAGCTCCTCTATTTCCATTCCAGCTTCCCACTCCTGTGAGCCCTGGGAGGGAGCAGGTAATGGCTCGAGTTCTTATGTCCTTACTACCCACGTGGAAGATTCAGATTGGGCTCTTGGCTTTGGCTTGGCCAGGTCATGCCTGTTGCAGACATATGGGGAGTAAACAAGCAGATAGAAGAAGTCCCTTTCTTCTCTCACTCTGCCTTTCAAATGATTTTTTTTCAAAGGGAAAATCAATTTTTAAAAAGAAAGTAAATTTAATATTGCCAAATTTTGGTGAAGATATGTACCAAGTGAGATCCTATACTATAATTTGCCATACTTGAAACAGTCTTGAAAATTTAATGAAATTAGGAATTTGTACTCTTTATGGCCCGTAACCTCACTCTTGGCAAAGAAGTTATCGCACAGATACATAAAAAGACTTGGAGAAAACACTCATCATGGTGTTGTTTATAGTGGTAGAAAGTCAAGTATCCATTACTGGGGGAGTATGTAAAATAAATTATAATGGCTACATACTGGTTATTAGGCAGCATTAATAAGATATGAGCTAAATACAGTGCTGAATTTTTAAAAAGCAAACAGATAACGAAGTTCATAGCTTGGGTGATCATACATCTTTGTCTAGACAATTCCAATTTACATCTGTTGTAAATTCATGTGTTAGATAATTAATATTATCAATCTAAGTCTCATTATTTTAGACAAAATATTTTATGGTTATTCTATCTATCATAACACCACCTTATAAAATTAAGCCACAAAAGCACTCAAGGACACTACTTATTGTGCTATTACATAAGTGATAGCTTGAAAGAGTTGATGGAAACGAATATTATGAAAAAACTATACACAGCTTTCTATTTTTTTTTTTTTGTATCAATGTAATCTTCTAGTTGCATTTCCCACAATTACTGTGGGAAGTCTCCTTACTGTGTTGGAGTGGGGACCTACTTCAGCCTAGTGAATGAGATGAAAGAAGTAAAAACAATGACACTGAGCTGCAAAATAAGAGTATGATTAACTCTTCTCTGCTCTAAGGTTTAAAAACCTTACTGCTTAATTTTGTTATTTTGTTTAATTCAGCAGCCAGCATTGTGGTGCAGTTGGTAAAGCTTCTGTCTGCTATGCTGGTATCACCTATGGGTGCTATTTCATGTCCCAGCTATTCTACTTCCAACCTATCTCCCTGCTATTACTCCTGGGAAAACAGTGAAAGATAACCCCAATGTTTGGGCCCCTACAGCCATATGGGAGAGCCAGAAAAAGCTCCTGCCTTCAGTCTGCCACTTTTTCAAATAAAATCTATTTAAAAAAAAAAAAAAAGCAATACTTACAGTACTTCTGATACTAAAAATGGCATAGCTCGGGCTTCTAGTGTAATACCTGTAGAGAAAAAGGCAAAATCTTCACAATTTCTTCTCCAAATATGAGGAAGTCTATATTTAGGCTGCCAAGAACTTTACCATTCTGCTTAATCTCGTTCTGGAAAGTGAGCACAGTGCTAAGTGAGGCCATCGGTGACTTGTTCCCACTACTCTAGATGTGTGCAAGGGTTTGCTCTGTATCTGAAGACACTCAAATTAAATGGGAAGTAAATACTCTTTCTTCCCTCCCTTCCTTCTCTTTTAATTAGATGAAAACTACTGAAAAATATTGGCTCTAAATCCACTTATGAATTGAAATAAAAATAGCAAAAATACATTTTAAATTCAAGGTTTCTTGGTTGGAACACTGAAGAAGAAAGCAAACTTCTGTGAGTTATTATAATTTTACCTTTATACAGCGCACTAATTTCTATCCATATAATCCCATCTAAAACAGCACTGTTAAAGAGGAATATATTAGAAACTGCCTTTTTAACTAAAAATGGTCTGTTAACCACATTAGAAGCACGGGAAGAACATCATAAAATTATTCACTTTTCAGGTCTGTATTTTCACTGAATTGGTATCAAGTCAGTGCACAGGTAAACTGGAGTCACTTTCACATCTCAGCTCAATCCCAAGGAAACCAGAAACCTTTAGGAACCTGAGTTGGGGTTAAAAAAATGGATGCTACAATGACTGATCAATCAAAAGAATAAAAATCAAACAGTATTAAGAGGAAAATTTTTAATTTTGCATTGGGGCAGGCATTTTCCATATCCACGGTCTGATGCAAGTCTGGCTACTTTTCCTCCCACTTGGCCCTGCCAATGTGAACCTGGGAGGCAGCAGATGGGGGCTCCAGTGGTTGGTTTCTGGCCACCCAGGAGGAAGACCTGGGTTGACCTGCTACCTCCTGGCTTCAGCCTGGCCCAGGTCTGACTGCTGCAAGGTTTGGGGAATACACTGACAACCTCTCTCTGCCTCTCATTTTCTTCTACCTCGATCTCTCTCTCATCATCTACCATTTATCTCTACCTCCATCTCTCTCTCTCCCTTTCAAATAACAGCTTAAAAAGAAATAAAATCCAGGAGTCTGCCACTAATACAAAAACTACACGTTTGTTTTCTCTAACTTATAATTCAAAGTACCTACTAACCGGCTTAGTGGCTAAAATCCTTGACTTTACATCTGCTGGGATCCCATATGGTTGCCGGTTCTAATCCTGGCTGCCCTGCCTCCCATCCAGCTCCCTGCTTGTGGCCTGGGAAAGCAGTCAAGGATGGTCCAAAGCTTTGGGACCTCGCACCTGCATAGGAGACTCGGAGGAAACTCCTGGCTCCTGGCATCAGATCAGCTCGGCTCTGGCTTTTGGGACACTTGGGCAAGTGAGCCAGCAGATGGAGGATCTCTCTGTCTTTCCTTTGCTCTGTAAATCTGTCTTTCCAATAAAAATAAATAAATCTATTTTTTAACATTGTAATTTTGCCAACAAGTCAAATATGTAAAATAAATAAATTTCTCTTTTCTAGAAAGCATATTTGTACCTGGATACTATCAATATACTGATAGTACCACAGATACTGTATCTGTATCTATGACTACTCCATGAGGCTAAATTTTACAGAAAAGGTCCAACCTCTGATTCAATTGTAAGTATATAAAAAAGAAAATGTCTACTTCCTTCACTCTAATGAACATAGCTCGGGGGTTGGAAACCTATGCCCTGTGAGTCAAGTTCGACAGGCTGTTACGTTTTTATTGGCACACAGCCACACCCATTTGTTCACCACCTTCGGTGTGCGCTGCCTTGTGCCACGACAGAATTGGAGCAGTTGTATGGCAGATTGCATTGTCTGAATCACCTAAGACATTCTCTGCCTGGTTTCCTGCAGAAATGTTTGGTGACTTGGGGTGTTCCACATAACCAAAAAGCTCATTAACTCCCTGAGTTCACAGCGGTCCTTAGTAACATCAGGTCACATTATTTGTGGACTCACTGCTTGTTTGTGCAGAGTGTTCTAAACATACTCCTGCCATGCTCCAGAGGCCGGCCACCTGCAACCTTCCCAACACTGACGGAAAAGCAAAACTCGCCTGGCCAACCTTCCAGAACTTAACAGCGCTTTATCCCCACAGCTGGCTCATGCTCTGTATCCGCTTAACTGCCCTTCCACGAGAGCAGCCGCCTCCCCTTGGCCTGCCCCCTGCCCTGCCCTGCCCCGATGGGGCTCCCCGGTCCTCAGTCACTCAGGGCTCCGCTGGAAAAGCAGACCTGTCAGGCCTCAGGCCTTGGGTCACCTCAGACCCTGTGAGGCGAGCGCCACCGAGGCCCCGCGGCCTGCTAGGCGAGCAGCGGCCCATGCCGTGCGCGCGGGCCCTGGGTGCGGGCGCAGGGCGTCTCTCTACCTCCACAAGGCCGAGCCGCAGCAGCTCAGCCACGACAGGAGCAGCGCCACTTCCCAGGCCGCCATGGCGCCGGCTCCGCCTCGGCCCAACCGCCTTGCCGCCCGCCGGTGTGAGGCCCGAAGGCGGGCGGGCTTCCGGAGCCGCGCAGGCTCCCGGGCAGGGCACGTGTCGGCGTGTCGGCGTGTCCGCGTGGTCCGCGTGTCGGTGTGTCCGCGTGGTCCGCGTGTCGGCGTATCCGCGTGGTCCGCGTGTCGGCGTGTCCGCGTGGTCCACGTGTCCGCGTGTCGGCGTGGTCCGCGTGTCGGCGTGGTCTGCGTGTCCGCGTGGTCCGCGTGTCGGCGTGTCCGCCGGCCATGCGTGCGCCGGCTGGTGTTCAGCAGGAGAGGGAGGGTGGGCTGCCCGCCAGATCACGGCTGAGGGAAGGCTCTGGGAAGACATGGCTGACGGAATCACCTCTCACGTCCCGCAGCCCTCACCAGTCGCGTTGTCTGCAGGAAGTTCCCCCAGGACAGGCGTACCTTGAACGATTTTGAACTAGAACAGAAGTGAATGGTAGTGAGTTGTTGAGGTATTGAGGACCTGCTGTACACCCTAACCCTTGGCACTTGGTACAAAGCTGTATGACAGCATGTCTGCTGAAAAAGGAGTTGTAGCTGAGAGAAATGCCAGTTATCAGCCGGCAGGACGACACGTGTACTTGTGAGCAGGTGGACGATCTGCGTCCTAGAGGGTTGTCCTTTAGTTCTCGTGTGCGGACCCCGCTTTCCTCTGTCTTGGGTTGTGGCTGGCCACTCACTCTACCCACTCACTACGTTGAGCAGATACGGTGTGATATTGAACTGCCTGGAAGGAGGGCTAGAGAATGCGAGAAAGGTAAGCCTTGGGAGACGCCTCATGTGAAGAGCTTCTCTTCCCCACCTTTGGCCGATATTTATCTTAATGAGACCTGTGATTTCTGTGCAGTTGAAAGAGCATTGATTCTATAGGAGGGAAACTCTAGAGTCTAGATGCAAGGGAAATGGGCTTGCAAGTAGTGAGTGGGATGTGCAGGAAGAATTTGAACTCCGGAGCCATCCTAAGTTCCAGTTCAAACCCCACTAGATCGTTACCTAGCTTCTACTAACAGGTTTGTAATGCTGACTTACTTTTCTTTGCTTGGAAGGCAGACCAACAGAGAGGGAGAGGGGAATGAAGGAAGGGAGTTGTGTGAGAGAATCATCCATCTACTCACATACTTCCCAAATGGCCCTGTCAGTCAGGGTTGGGTCAGGACCTCTATTGGGTCTTCCACTTGGGCACCAGGGGCTCAAACACTTGAAGCAGAAGCTGGATTGGAAGCAGGGGGAAGTTGGGATGCATGTGGCCCAAGAGTGGGCTGCTTAACCTGCTTAATAGCACTCACCTCTGTTTTTTTTTATTAAATTAAAAAAAATATTTTTTTCATATGAAAGCAAGAGAGAGAGGATCTTTTATCCACTAGTTTATTCCTCAAGCAATCACAATAGTTGGGCTGGATCTGGTTTCAACTGCATCACAGTGCAAAAGTATTTCAAGGAGTTTATGGAAAATGTTTTCGGAGTAAAGTATACATGGATTTCAAAATTTTCTGCTCTATAGTAAAAAGTCTTAATCCCATTTTTCCATGATCTTTTTGTGTAACTTGTCCTGCATAGCCAAGTACTCCCCGAGCCTGAGCTCTAGGTTTTCTCATCCTGGGGAGGATTAGGGCTCTACGTGAGCTCTAGCTCTTCCCCTACCCTGTAACTTTTTGCTTTACTTTTGAGTTTGCCCTTTTTGATCTCTCTCCATCTCCCCTCTTAATTTAGAATTTTAATTTTCATTCCCAAGCCTATATACATACTCAGGTAGACTGTAGTTTACTAAAGTCCAGAAAACGTTGAGACCGCACCTCTTTTATTCTGTACAGAGCATCTCATTCCTTAACAAAAGTGAATCCAGTAAACCCAAAACGAACGCGTTCACAAGGTTAAAACCTGCCAATGGCCGACACCACGACCCTGACGGTGTCGCAGCCGCCTAGAGCGTTGCATGCTGGGAGTTGTAGTCCGCTGCACCTTCCGCGCCTCTGAAGTTTGAAAGCGGGAGGCAGGGAGGTGGGCGGGGCGCTGCCGGGGAAGCGCGAACGAAGCCCCGCCCCTGCGCCTTCGGCGCGCGGGGTTGGTCCGGGCCCGGCGCGCCCGGCCGCGGAAGGGCGGCGGTTGCGGCCTCCAGGGCCTGTGGCTGCGGGCGGTGCTGCTGCCTGCGGGCGGTGCTGCCGGCGCCGGCCTGCGCGGGGCGGTCGCGGTCCCGGCGGGAGCGGGGCGGGGCCTGGCGGGAGGGTGGCGGCCCGGCGGGGCGGGGCGGGGGCGGGCTCGGGCGCTCCTTCTTCCTCCGCATGTGGCTGGCGGCCGCCGGGCGGCTCAGTTGGCGCACTCGGCTCGGGCCGCGCGTCCACTTCGCCTTCTCCTCGCCTCCCGTGCAGCCATGGCGTTCGCAGAGACCAACCCGGCGGCTTCCTCCCTGCCCAACGGCGACTGCGGCCGGTTCAGGGCGCGGCCGGGAGGCAACCGGGTGACGGTGGTGCTGGGCGCGCAGTGGGGTGACGAAGGCAAAGGCAAGGTGGTGGATCTGCTGGCGCAGGACGCCGACATCGTGTGCCGCTGCCAGGTGAGGCGGCGCGGCTCTCTCACCGCGGACCCGGGCCCGGGTTCTGCGCTTGTGGTTTCGGGGAGCTCGGGCCCAGAACTCGGCTCCTCTGGCGGCAAGGAGGTGTCACCTTGAGGCTCTCGTCTCTTGCTGTGAGCTGCGGCGGCAGGCAGAAATGGCGGGAGGTCAGGGACCCTCCCCCCCAGCTCCCCTAACCTGGGGTCTTGGCTGCAGCACTGGTTAGGCTGCCGGGGGGGGGGGGGTCTCTGAGCGATGCTCGGTGCCTGGGCTGTTGGCGATTTCGGCCTGGGGACCCGGTGTCCAGCTGGGGGACCGGGGCCGGGCTGCGGGAAGGGGGTGCGAGGATGCGGTCGGAGTTTGAGGAGCTACCGCCCGAGGCCTGCGTCCGACCCCGGGTGCGGACGGGGCGGCGACCAGGCGCGGCCGCAGGGCGTACCCATCATCCACCCGACCGGGGCCGCCGAGTGGAACCGCATTTTTTTGCGAAATGCCCTGAGATCCAGGCTCACCTGCAGGCCCGGGCCAAACGGAACTCTGCCTCTTCGGGTCTACTTTGTTGACATCAGAAGCCACTGCTAGGCTTTGGACGGTTTAAGAGACCCGTGGGGTTTTATTTACATTATTGGTTTTGTACCCCGTAGGTTAATATTAAGGAAAGAAAATCGGAGAATCTCAGGGGAAGGAACCCCTTTTCTGTTAAAAAAAAAAAAAAAGTGAAGCAAGGAAGTACACGGATGACAAAGCCGGTGTTTAGAAGTGCTTACATTGTTACAGTCACATAGAGAATTCACTTCAGGGAAATAGAGTGGTACTCTACTTCCTACCGGGAGACACGTGGTTCTCAGCAGAAGTTTTTCTTCCTATTTGTTGTTTTCTCGGAAGCAGCCTAGAGCCGGGCCTTTGTAAAAAGCGATTGGATGACTCCCTCCAGATTCAAAATTAGAGATGTGTGGATGAGAAGGCCCCTTGGGAGGGACAGTGCCATACCATCTTTGAAATGAACTGCAGTCTTGGCAGGTTGCACTCATTTTTCTTGTCATTTGGACATGCCTGGTATGCTAAAGGGAGTAACAGAAGCCAGTCTGGGTGGGAAAGGGTGGCTGGATGGGAAGCAGGTTACTTAAAAGCCGGTTACAAGCAAGTCCCAGGCAGCTGAAGAGCTAAAGAGGAACGTTCCCCGTCCGGACTCCTTGCTGCTGGGGTTGTGCAGGTGCCAGCTGCGGGGGTTCTGGGCTGAGAGGCTGGGCATCAGCTGGGGAGCTCTTCTGCCTCCGTGTCCTGCTTTCCTCATCCCCTCTGGCAGCACCTAACTGTGGGGCCGAAGACATTGCTGCCCAGCTCCAGCCACACCTCTGCTCCTTCCTAAACCCAGCTCTGGTGTTCTAACTTGTGTTGCCTGGTGGGAGGGAAGCTGAGCCCCCCTCAGTCTCCTCCCTGTTATGTCCTTTACCTGGAGAAGTTCGCATTCACGCAGAACTCGGTTTTTAGATTTTGGATGCTTTGGAGCAAAGTATCCTTTGTAACATTTATCCAGAAAGACCTTCACTTTCAGTGTTTTTTGAAAATGGCTAGAATTTGTCATTTGGAGAACATGGTCTGTTATCAAGAAAGTGGTGTTGGGTCTGGCAGTGTGGCCTAGCAGCTAAAGTCCTCCTTGCCTTGAATGCACCAGGATCCCACATGGGCACTAGTTCTAATCCCGGCAGCTCCACTTCCCATCCAGCTCCCTGCTTGTGGCCTGGGAAGGCAGTCGAGGACGGCCCAAAGCCTTGCAACCCTGCACCCACATGGGAAACCTGGAAGAAGTTCCTGGCTCCAGGCTTCAGACTGGTGCATCACCAGCCATTGTGGTCAATTGGGGAGCGAATCATCGATGGAAGATCTTCCTCTCTGTCTCTTCCTCTCTATATCTGACTTTGTAATAAAAATAAATATATATTTTTTTAAAGTGGTGTTGAGGAGGGTTATGGACCTCTTTGTTCTGAGGGCAAGTCTAAAGACTGCTTGAGAAGCAGCCCGGTTTAACTTCAGTATAGAGGCTGAATGGCTGGGTGTTTGGCGTGGTGCCTGAGATGCTACATGGGACATCAGAGTGACGGGGTTCCGGTTCTGATGCTGCCTTAGGTTTCAGTTTCCTCCTAATGAGTATTGTGGGAGGGTGGACTTGGAGCTGGCGTGGCTGTGGCTGTTGCAGGTTGCTGTAGGCTCTGTGGATACCTGTGAATGTATCTCTGTGATTGAATCTCTATCTCTGCCTTTCACGGAAGGAAGGAAGGAAGGAAGGAAGGAAGGAAGGAAGGAAGGAAGGAAGGAAGGAAGGAAGGAAATTAGTAAACTTCCCTCATCTGTAAACTTTCAATTTATGATCTTCCTTACGTTAATTTGACAATCTTGCAAT